ATGACTATTTTTGTTATTTAATCCAGAAGCTTCGTTGAAGGAAATGTAAGCTTTACTAGGGGTGGTAGTGCACATTCATGTAACATTTTGTAACTTACAGAATGTTTTCTTTTAGCCTTCACTGTGTGTAGCCAATGATAGGGCCAATTGACTGATGAGGCCCTAAGCTTAGCGACTTCCTTCATTATCACCATTAGATTTGTGTCCTAGGCCATCTGCCTTCCTTTTCCTTTGGTTCCCATCTAAGACAGTCTGGCACTGCTTTTAATGCAAATATGTGTATTTTTTCCTAGGCATTCCAACCCTAGGGAAGAATGTGGTTGTAGCTGGAAGGTCAAAAAATGTTGGAATGCCTATTGCAATGTTACTACACACAGATGGAGCACATGAGCGTCCTGGAGGTAAGGAAATTGCTTTCGGAGGGGTGTCCTCTTCTCTCTTATGTGAGAGCCTTCAGAGGCTGTCCTGTGGATGTCTGGAAGTGTTAAATTTGAATATAAGCATAGTTGTAGGCAGTTAGAAATTTTCATTTATGGCTTTGATAGTTAGAGCTAAGAAGCAATTCTTATTCAAAGTTAGTATCCTGTTCTATGTCATTTGGTAGAAAAAAATCTTAGACCATTGCAAAGGATTGAATTGATGTGACTGTAGTGTGTCATTTTGTCAAATTCTGTTGATCTAAGAAAAAGCCTCACATCAGAGTTATCGTATATGATTATCATAATATGACCCTACATGATTATATCAGAAATAATGGCAAAATGAAATATTTCCAGATATCTTTCAGCACATTTAAAAAAAAAGACCTTGGGTAATTCTAGTGATATTTTGTTTAGAAAAAGTAAAATTCTTGAAAAACTGTTAAATAGAATAAGGACTAAATCTAATTATATATGACTCCAAAGGGTAGAGCCAGGACCAACAGGTAAAAGTTAGAAGAAATCAAGTATTTTTCAAAAATGACAATTGACTGTCCTGAAAATATGGCACATAAATTAAGTCAATTATTTTTTCAGAAATGTTAAATTTCTACAATGGTTTGCCTAGTTGAGACCTAGCCCAACCCTATCTTTGATTCAGAAATCAAGACTTCTAATTTTTAACTCATAGGTGATGCCACTGTTACAATATCTCATCGATACACTCCCAAAGAGCAGCTGAAGAAACATACAATTCTTGCAGATATTGTGGTCTCCGCTGCAGGTAAGAACACCAGGGAGGGGGTGGAAGGATGTCACCTTAGAAGATGAACCTCTTATCTTAGAATTTGCCTGCCGCACAGCCATTCCATTCATCACTGCCCTGGGATTGACGCTGTAAGCTACCTACAAAGATGAGGAAAGAGTTGTTTGTTGTCGGAATAGTGGTTTCTGGCATTCCATTATAGACTTGATGAATGAATGTTATTTCTACAGCCTCAAAAGATTTCTATTTACTGTATGAATTTTAAATGTTTCCTTGGTTAATAGTTTTTATACAACGAGCTAATTAGTTCTTCCAAGGTCTCTTGAAATTGAAATTAGATAAGAATCTGACAGGTGGAATCTTCTTTTTAGGACTAAATTGATCATCCCTGTCTCTATTTCCAGGCATTCCAAATCTGATCACAGCAGATATGATCAAGGAAGGAGCAGCTGTTATTGATGTGGGAATAAATAGAATTCAAGATCCCATCACTGCTAAACCCAAGTTGGTTGGAGATGTGGATTTTGAAGGTAAATGGTCTAATTTTTTTAAAGTATAAAATCAATAAAGGGGGTGACTGGTTAGCTCAGTTGGTCAGAGCGTGGTGCTGATGACACCATAGTTGCCTGTTTGATCCCCTCATGGGCCACTGTGAGCTGCACCCTCTTTAAAAAAGTCAACTATGCCATTGTAGCATGAAAGCAATGTGTAACCAATGACCATCGCTGTTCCCCAATAAAATTAAAAAAAAAAAATGCAATAGGAAATTGTTTAAGAAAAAAATCAATAAACACTATCATTAATGGGCACTTAAGACCAATCATTTACTTTTTGTTTAACTGTTAAACTTAACGTTATCCTGGTAATGCCATTTAAAATGCTTTCCACAAGAATTAAGAGAAATCTTTTTTAAAATTATAGACATTCTAGAATTATTTTAGGTGTTTATATCACAAAATTATGAAGACCAGGCATAAACTTTTCAGGGAACTGTTTGATTTTTTTTTTTCCCCTTGAGGGTTATTTTATAATTAAAATAACTACAAGACTTGTAACAAGTCTGAAAATTTAATGAAGTGATTTTCCTAAACCACTGAGTCTCCTAAAAAGTGTTACAGAGTTCTCATTTTCACATTGAGAGAAGAGATCCCAGACCTGGAATGTTAAAATAGTCTAGGAAAAAAGCCATATTCTTAAAATTTTGGAATTTGATAGATTTCTTCTTTTAGTTCTTAAGGTAACATGTTTATTTGAATTTTATGGTAATAATCCTATTCCTAGCTTTCTGTTTATATTAAAGTAGTCAGACTCGAGCCTAGGTATCTTAAGTATTTTTCCTTTAAGATTGAGTTAAAAAAAAAAAAGTCTTACTTCTTACTCTCCAGAAAATTATTGCTTGGTGCTTTGGGCAAACAGTATAAATAAATATTGTATATAGAGTAAAATTAAGAAAATGTTGTAGGCAGGTATTTTTGAGGTCATGGTTACGATTATTATAGGTATACCTCCCACACAATTAACCTACTGAGATGTTTCTTTTTAATTGATTTAATATGGAGGGAAGTGGCTGGTAAATTATAGGTTATTTAGATGTATAAATATTCATTGAACAACTTTGTTATTATGTACATGTTACCTTATTAGTACGTTCAAAAGCCTTTACTCTTGAGTAGTGAGATTTCTGTGAGTTTGAGGCTCATGAAGGTGCTTATGTATGTTATTGCTTTTCCTTTGAGTGCTTTTCCATGTGTTAAAATATATACATTTCCTTTGTTGTAATTAAAGCAATCTGCCTGTCTTATTTCTGTATAGGAGTCAGGAAGAAAGCCGGCTACATCACTCCAGTCCCTGGGGGTGTTGGTCCCATGACAGTGGCTATGCTAATGAAGAATACCATTATTGCTGCAAAAAAGGTGCTGAGACTTGAAGAGCAGGAGGTACTGAAGCCTAAGGAGCTTGGAGTGGCAACTAATTAACTGTTGTGTCTTCCGCATCATGAACAGTACTCTAAGCCAGTTCAAGAGGCAAAACAGGCCAATAGAAATGCAGTATTTTTTATTTATTCTACTGAAATGATTTTAAATGATGCTTTGTATTTATTGAAAGCTTAAATGGGCGGGTGTTTGGGCACATAGCTGCAGCACCTCACCAGGGAGCACGCCAGTAACCGTGTTGGGTCCTGTGACCTAGCCATAAGAGAAGCCATCAACCTAATGATTAACATGGAGGTCATTGTTACACTGAGAATGGCTGCTTAATTTTGTCAGATCACTTCAGTTACAATTTGCCTTTTTCTAGGATTTGCATTTCCCAAGTGCTATTCCAATAAGAGTTGATACTCACTTTAGGTTCTAAACCTTCTGAGTTCAACCGGTCAAACCAAAGGAAAAATGTTGCTAGAGAAAATTAGGGAAAAAGTAAAAAGGAAGGAATGATGGTAATTGAGTAAAAATATTTACTCTGATTTTATATGTATTGACTGATAACCAGAAGAAAAGTTACATGTTAATAGTATCCTGAGCTGTCATTTTATAGCTTAGTCAGTCACTGGAAAGATATCTAGGATTGTTCCGTGTGTTACCATTCATGAGGTTTCCCCATTTTAGTTTTCTAGGATTGAAAGGCTTATTTTATAAATAATTGTGTGTATTATTATATTTGGCTTTTCTTATATCCTTAAACTATATTGTTAAATTTTTGTACTGTTAGAGTTGTCTGCGTGGTTTCTTTGGTAGATCTTGAAACCTATTTTTGAAAACTAAAACTTGGGCTTTATAATCATTAGGGCGGCTTGTATAAGTATGCAACTTACTTTTCCACCAAAGACTTGTCAGTAGCTGCCTGCTTTTCTCTGAAGCACCTGTTGGTCCTCACTCCCCACCCCCATAGGTTTTTGAGAGCTTGAATCTAATATTGAATCTAAGCAGACTTGGATTAAAGGGTTTTTTGTTTGTTCGTTTGTTTTTAATAAAACACTTCTGACTGGTACGGAATGAGTTTCTGAAATATTTTATCTTTCTCCTACTGTATTGTCTTCATAATGAACTAACCATAGTTAATTTTTTGCATTGGATATAATTAATCTACATGTTCCTATATTTGGTAACACCCAACCCTATGCCTTAAACAAATTGGTTTAAAGAGCTGTAGAGAAACCAGACTAGCCCTTTTAGTCTTATGTGTTAACAGGATGCCATGGCAGGACCTTAATCTGTAAGACTCATTTAAGTGGTTAAGTCTTGTTCTGGGTATTTTCTAAACCATGTATTTAATTTACACATTGTTTAATTTACATAGGACTTGATGTGCTTGCCAAGTTCATTCTCTCTCTCTCTCTCTCTCTCTCTCTCTCTCTCTCTCTCTCTCTGTCTATCTATCTCTATCTCTCTATCTATCTATCTATATATATGTATATACATATATATATATACACACACACACACACACACACTTACTTTTTTTTAATTGGTGTGTTTGCTTTTTGACAGACTAGAAGTGATTTGTGGTGCATGTTTTGAGGCTAGGATAGGTCCCTGTGTATTCGCACCAGAATTGGGTATTTTGGCTTTCACACGGGCGGAGCAGCTCCTGCTCCAGGCAGCTTGAGGCAGACGGAGAAAAGAGAACAATGGGGTGTTGACCTACTCTCTCCTGTTCCTCTGCCAGCTGTCTTTATTCTTTTGATAGTTTTCTGGGGATGAAAGAAGATGATAGTTTGCTAGAGATGTTTTTGTAAGTGAGGTGTAGCTCGTCCATAAGCCATGCCTGCTGACTGACCTAAATTATTAAACATGGAGCAAGATGAGCAGACAGGATTAAGTTTTATTGAATTGTAGTTACAAGTGGAAAAAAGTACTGACCGAATAGGTCAAAGCTATCGAAACTAAAATGTTCATGTATATACAAAATATAAATGACATATAAGGTGAAAATTACAGTGATCAATTTACAACAAAAAAATTAACATTGTAATTTTCCGGCTTGTTTGATTAATCAAGCACATTTACTCCTGAATCCATAACATTTCTACAATTTAATTTGAATAACATGCTATTGAAAATCAGCCAAGTTTTAAAACTGAAATGCTAAGGGTAGACAGTTAGCTCTCCCAGTATTGGTACAGATGAAGATAGAGACTTTATACTTAAAACTCAGGTGATGGTTCTGGATTAGTGAACAGCAAAGTAATTCTATCAGAAGTGATAGAGGTTTAGAGCTTTACCTCTTGGCAGTATCCCTTGAAAGGGAGCTCTGAGATTTAATTTAATAAACATTCAAGAGCTCTCTAAGGACCCATCACTGCTAGGCTCTGGGGATTACAGAGACATTTAAAGACATTTAACTGTTCCGCCACTCAAGGTGTTAACGATCTAGTGTCATTTGTCTTTAAAAAATAGGAATAAAGAAAAAGCACCTGCATTTGTCATCTTGAGTAAATGTAGTGACTCTTACTAACATGATTTACTCAAGATTCAAATCCATAGTTGTGGAGAAGGCAAATGTCAGATGCATTGTGGCTATTAGGCACATACTAGGTGCTAAATAAACATGGTTGGCGTTTGTTAAACATGGATCAAAGATAAAGACTGATGTTAAGTTTCATGAGGAAAATGTTTGCTTCATTAATAATGGGTTTTAAACTACTCCACTAGCTTCCAAGCATTCCTTTAAAGTACTAACCTAATATTGCAAAGTCATAATCTTCTAGAATTTGACATCATCTCTAACATGCACTGTTCATGTAAATGGGAGTTTGACTTTGGGAACCCGGCCATTGAAAACTTGCAAAAAGGATCTAGCCAGATGCATAAAGAAATTTGATTCTGGGCATGAAAAACCAGTCATTAATTAAAGGACCATTTTGTTGCTTTAACATGGTTTGCGATTTTACTCTAACTTTGTTGCTTTAACATGGTTTGCGATTTTACTCTAACAACTAGTTTATTTTAAAAGCATATATCCACTCAAATGTGTTGGTTCTTTCATTAACAGACTTTTGGAACTGGCTTTTCAATCTGGGAAAGTCCCAGTCAAACTTCTGTGGTAGAGCAAAACCCATAATGCAGATGGTTTAAACTTTCCAAACAATGCTTAGCAAACGGAATGAGATACAAAAGATAAGACCTTGAAGCATTTCATAATATGCAAAATTGCAAAACATTTTCCAACCCGGCTCTATTGAAGTACGAGTATTTTAGTAGTTCTTTCAAGATCATCTAGACACTTTAAAATCTAACCTTTAAAAAAAATTCTCAACTGATCATTTACTTTAAATAAAAAATTGACTATTGCCCCTTTATCTTAACTACAGTTTTGGGAGTCAAGCATTTTTTTCATTTCAAAAGAAATGTTATGATTTCTATGCTGGACTGCATTTCAAAATAAGGTATAACATTTAGCTTTAGTTGTTTTCGTAACTACACAGGGAAGGTGAGAGTTTTGCCCCTTAGTAGTACTTTTCATCGACAGATCTCCACCTCTCTGTCAAGTGGAATAATGACTCAGTCTGTCTGGCAAATAAGGAAACAAGCTTAGATAAGTTCAGGTCTGTGGCCCAGACCCTCACAGTGAAGACTGAACCATGCCCTCCCTCTGTGCCCCATCTGGGGGATGCTATGTCCTAGAGGGTGGTCTCACCGGCAGCGTCTCTTCCGTATACGTCCATGTCTGTGAATTCACAGTCTGACTCCATCTCTATCTTCACCTGTGGCACCATAAACACCGGGCTCTGTGAGTAGTTGAAAGCAGGTGAAGCTGGACAGGAAATTTTGAAGTGCAAGGTGATGCTGAATGAGAAAAAGGAGGGAAGCATGTTTTATCAGTGTTTGGTGTTGTTCATGCTATTCCTCAGAGCAGGGCTCTAATGCAAGTAGTTTTCTTTGCTTATGAACTCTAATACATCATAGGAACTAGCAGTTTCCTATCTGCTTGGTCTTCAGCTGTAGTCATTACTGGTCTCACCCCGTTTTAGCTTATTCGTCACATTGCTTCCAAAGTGAACTCTCTGGGTCACAAATCTCTGGTTCCCCTGCTTAAATTTTTTCATGGTTTCCCAGTGTTCAAAACATATGAGGTGTGATCACAAAATACAGTGAATATTTAAGTTTAAAAAATGTGTTACAGTAAAAGACACATTGCCATTAATCCCCCTCAAAATACTCTCCCTCACTTCAAACACACTTGTCTCATCGTTCTTGCCACTTTCTGAAGCAGTTATGGAAGTCCTCTTTCATGAGTGCCTTTACTTCATCCTCCCATCATGACAATGTTCCATGTCACACATTGCTTCTGGCATATGGCAATTTCTGTCAAAAATATTACAGTGTGTCCACATCCACTGTATTCACTGGATCTGGCACTGTGTAACTTCTGGCTCTTCCCCAAAGTCAAAATGATCATGAAAAGTAAATGTTTTGATTGATTCAGGACATTGAGGCAGCCGTGACAGCTCAACTAAAAACACTCACAAAAGAGGACTTCCAAAACTGCTTCAGAAAGTGGCAAGAACGATGGGATATGTGTGTTTGAAGCGAGGGGTTAGTATTTTGAGGGGGATTAATGGCAATGTGTCTTTCACTGTAATGATTCTTTTTTTAATTTAAACATTCACTGTATTTTGTGATCACACCTAGTAGAATCCAAGCTCTTTAGCATAACAAGACAGGGCCTCCTATGCTCACACTGCTGTTAACTTGTAGTTTGACTGCCCCACCCATCCCCATATTCGTGTGAGAGAGAGGGAGAGAGAGAGAGAGAGAGAGAGAGTGTGTGTGTGTGTGTGTGTGTGTGTGTGTTTTCAGATGGTGTTTCCAGCCTTTTCTCCAGCCTGAAATGCCCTTTCCTCTTCTTCACTCTATCTGGAAGACTCCTGTTTATCGTTCCAGATAAGGTAAATCCCTCCCTTAGACCATCGTCTTTCCTCTACTGTGTGCTCTATTCTTGGTACAAGGCACTGTGTGTCTTTGTTCACATGCCTGTCTATATCTCCAGGGATTAAGCGTCCTGCCTGGATGCTTAACCTTTGTTAAGCTAGATCATGTTTCTTTGCCTTTTTCTTCACTGAAACTGAATCCTGCTATTTAGTGGTCTCTGCTTCCATCTGCTTTCACAGATTTGGTAAAACACCAGTGGAGTTGGGAGGTGCAGTTGCCAGTGACCAAATTTTCTACATTTCTGACCTTGTCCCATGCTTTGTATAATCTAACAGCGGTTTGGAAATGCCCTGTCTTGGTCCAAATTCTCTCTCCACTGACTGAAATTGAGGCAATTCGAGATTCAGTTTAGTATAGGCTGTTTTAAAATGAAAATAAATCAGGGTAGACAGACTGCTTTCTCCTAATACGTTTGCATATGAAGATCAGCAACTGTGTGGGCATATGAGCCTTGTGTGGGGAGGTGTGATTAGGCAGGCAGAGACGTAATTTGGAGATGTGACACTCCTGGGCTAGAGCGGTCTTGGGTCCACTGCTTAGGGAGGCTTGTACTGGTGCTAAGTTTCTTCTCACCCTAATACATGATAAAAGCTCTGACTTATAACTCAGAAGAGTACGTATTTGCTAACATCTCTTGTGAGAGTGCCATCTATGTCTGGAGGTGTATCTGTCTCTAGCCAGCGGTTCTCAACCTGTGGGTCGCTACCCCTTTGGGGATCGAACGAGCCTTTCACAGGGGTCGCCTAAGACCATCAAAAAACAAAAAGATATCTACATTACGATTTATAACAGCAAAATTACAGTTATAGAGTAGGAACGAAAATAATTTTATGGTTGGGGTTCACCACAACATGAGGAACTGTATTAAGGGGTCGCGGCATTCGGAAGGTTGAGAACCGCTGCTCTAGACTTTGGATAGCCTGTGCTTTTACTGTTTAACCCCATGCAGAGTGATTCCTGTTCAGTTTAGGGCACCGTATAGGAGTAGGACTGCCCCTACCATCTTCCCTAATAATAACTGAGGCAGGCGTTCTTGCCTCTGAATTGCTCGTTTCCATTTTTGAACCCCCCTTGTTTTCAACCATCAAGTAGTCCCGCTTTCATCATAGATGGCTTCTCATTTAGAACAGGTAGGAATCACACTGTCAGCATGGGGGCTCCTGGAAACCGGGTCTGGACTCCTTTCTGGACTGTTCTTATCTCCACTTAATCTTTGATATTTAGTTAGCTTCCCTTGATACCCTTTCTGAGCTTTGCTAATTAACCGTGCTGTTATTTTATTCCACAGAGTATTAGATTACTTGGTGTTTTGATCCTTAGAATTCATTTATCCTAGCTTTCAATAATATATATATTTAAGTCATGTCTGATTTTCCTCTATGTTGTTGTCTTTTGTTTAGTATTTACTTTCAATTTTCATTTTACCTAATATTTTATAATTCCCTTTTCTAAAGTAGAATACCAGTATGTGTTGTAATCATGTTACTATGTCAGTAAGAGGACACATTTGTTACTGGACATCCAATAATCAGGCCTATCCACCTTTCTCTCTGTGGGGGACCACAAAGGCCTTTTACTGAGACACTGACTAGTCTGGGAGATCCTAGCCCCTCAACCTTCCTGGCCATTCCTTAGTCTCTTATCCAGCACCCAAGGAGTTCACCTCATGGCTGTTACCTTCGATCAAGTTCCGAGTCACTGAAGGAAGAATCAAAATGAGTAACTCCAACTGGAAGATCTTTTTCCTGGCAAGAAAGTCAAGATGTCAGATGTGGAGCAAGGTTGAGGACTACACTGGAGAATATCCTCTTTTTCCCTCACTCATTTCTTCCTATTCTCTATCCCCATGGCCAACACTACACAGAGGCACACAGGGCCCTCACAAGGATGGGTGGCTTCTGGTTCAGTTACTCCTTCATTCAGAGGGCTCTTAGCCAGGTTAGGTATGGGGGAGGCATAGGGAGAACCAGGGAAAAGTGAGAAGGAAGGATTGAATTATGCAAATAGGAAGGGGGAAGAAACATGAGAAACTCGAAGAGGTACTTCTGATGGAGACTGTGATGGGAAACCTTTCAAAGGCCCTTGAGGGGCTGGCAGGATCCCTAATCTGAGTCTTTGAGGAAAGGGCAAGATCTGTATTAGGAGCAATGGGGTCTGGACTCAGGTTGAGATCTCAAGCTGTGTTGTCTCCATGACAGGACTGTCTACCAATATGGGGCTGAGGCTGGGAGCGGGTAAAGGCAGCTACAAAATCCCCCAGGGTCTTCATAAGCAATAAGCAATGCCTGATCCCCCCACCAGGCAGCCTCCTTTTCAGCAGGTAGAAGGAACTTGTGATTCATAGAGTCACAGCCCAACTATTGGGACTTTCTGACTATAATCCAAATGCAATGCTACCTGTTTCTCTACAGGACAATTCAACTTGGATTTGAACTCTCAATCATTTCAACAACCACTAGAAAACATGGGAGGCTCAGCAGGTCATGTTTGGATCGACATGGTCTGAAACAACGCAAGAGAGGGCCAGGTGGTGCCACAGGTATCTGAGGGCACCAGGGAGAGGAAAGGAATGAAAGATTTTGCCTCAAGAGAAGATTGATCACTGGAGTCTTCAGGGTTGGTTTGGGGTTTCCATCCGGTTGGAGTCCCAATCCTGTGGCCCAATTCTCTTTGAACTCTGCCTAGCACAGGAGTCCTCTAGCATCTAAGACCATTAGATCCCCTGAATTAAAGATGGAAATTCCTCAGGGAAGAGGTAGAGGATTAGTAGTAAGGAAGGGAGAGACACCATGTGTTTTACTTACTGGCAATGCAGTGGATATCGTTTTGGGGATCTGATTGGACACTTTCCATGGGACTCTTTATAACTGAGGGAGGAGGGAGCTGGGGCTGGAGAGAAACAGTGGGAAAAGCTGATAAACACCACCAATTCAACAGGAAAATACATACATCCACAGCGTGCAAACTACCATCCCCTTTACATCCTGACTCAACCATTAGGGCATGACACAGATACTCTGGGGCTCACTGAAGGGGCATCACACAGCCCGCTGTCCTCTTCTGGGAACATTACTCAACAGAACAGTTTCAATTGTCACCATAGCCAGTCACTTGGGAGTGAACCTCACATATTAGCCATGTAAAGACATGTAAAGTGAATTTGTGTAAATTGAATCCTGTTTTTCCACCGAATATATAATCCAGAGATAATTTTTTCCCAACCCTGGCACATGGTAGCCACTCAAATATTTATTGAATGAATCAATGAAAGAATAAGTATCTGTCTTTAAATGGCACTTAAATTCTCTGTTTCTTTGTTCTCAGAACCTATCCGTGCAAATAATCTAAACCACCAATGAAAAACATGTGAATGAATGGTGGGCCTCTTCCTTTTCTAAGAGGACAGTAATTAAGGACCATGGAAGTTTTGGTCTATCACTACCATCAGAAGATGGTTTAATCGCCACCAATCAGTCAGCAAGGATTTGCCTAAGAACAGTTTTGGTCCGCAAAAGGCGAGGTCACTAGGAAAAACAATTCAAGGATACTGGGATGTGGTTTTGGGTCAAATTGGGAGAATGAGAGCCAGGCATGGGATTAAGAGATGTCATGGGCAGCTTAGTATATTGGAAATGATCAGATTCAAAGTCAGGAATGGTTTTCTTAATTCCCTCTAAGACTATAGGTCCATTGTGGGTGAATCACTTCCTTTTTGGGGAACTGATTCATCATCTGTAATGAGCACTTGAACTACACAGCCTTTCTGTCTAACATTTTGTGATTTACTGTAAGTTCTCAACTAGCTTCTTGTCTGTTGACTCCTTGAATGTTCTGGGGGTGGGATGGGGGGAAACATGGGAGAAGGGAGGGGCAGACAGGGCAACTGCATCTGGGGAATGTCACCACCCTCCTTTTGGTGAGGACACGTGCCTCTTCCCCCGCCTCCAGATACCCTTGGGCAGTACCAAGCAAACCTTGTCCCCAGGAGTCCAGTCTACTACTGAGCCCCCATCAGGCCCCTACCCCACTCCCGCTCCATTCTTTGGAGGTCAGTCCTCATAACCTCCTCCATGATAGAACCAGTCTCTGCCCTGTTCCCTCAGGGGACTGCACTGCTCTTGATAATGGCCCCAAGAGCCTATAAGAATGGGAAAGAGTGGACTTGGTCAACTTTTCCCTGGGTGAGGGGGCTTTTTCACTTTGGCCCATCCTGAGGATATTCACATAAACAGATAGGCTCTCAGCACCTCCAGACCAAGATAAGCAGAAGCCTCAATTCATCCTGGACTAGGTTGCTGCTGGCCACCTGAGAAGCCACCCCATTCCTGGGCTTGGTAGAAGTAAAGGGAGGGTCTCCTGATCTCTCTCCTAGGCCCAGGCACCATATCCATCCCACCTCCTCTTCATTGTCCTCATGGGCCCCTTTCCTTCTCTTTTTCTTCTTCTCCGTCTCCTTTTTCTCCTTCTCTGGGAGGATGTTGTCAATCCAGGCCAGGTCATGCTGGGAGAAGATAAGGTCCAGCAGCCTTCGGACAATGATGAGGCCCAGGATCTGTGACGAGAGTTCAGAGAAAATGACAGGCTCGAGGCCCCGATCTTGGGCACAGTTTTTTCTCCCTCAGTCAGCCATCCATGTTCACGGACTTTTTCTGGTCAGTGTCTTTGGAGCCATCTCAAAGCTCCCACAAACCATTATTCACCTCGTGCGTGTCTTGGTTTCTCTCTGGCTTCCCTCAGTCGAGTGACAATGCCTACCAGTGACCCAGAGGGGCAGAGCCTGGGATAGCTGAAGTGGGGAGCCAGGTGGAGACCATGGGCTGGAGAACTACAGTTATTTTTTAAATCAGTGCTTCTCAAACTTGAGTTTGCATCAGTCACCTGGTGGGCTGTTAGTACCCACACTGCTGGGTGCTGGGTGACTCTAGTGAGTTGCTCACTGACATTGAACAACTCAACAACAAAAAAACCAAGCAATCCAATTAAAAAATGGTCAGAGGACCTGAAGAGACACTTCTCACAAGAAGACATACAAACAGCCAAGAGATATATGAAAAAATGTTCAGCTTCACTAGCTATTAGGAAAATGCAAATCAAAACTACAATGAGATATCACCTCACCCCCGTTAGAATGGCTATCATCAACAAGACAATTAATAACAAGTGTTGGAGAAGCTGTGGAGAAAAAAAGAACCCTCATACACTATTGGTGGGAATGTAAATTGGTATAGCTGCTATGGAAAACAGTACAGCGGTTCCTCAAAAAATTAAGAATACACTTACCATATGACCCAATAATCCCTCTCCTGGGTATCTACCCCCCAAAATTGAAAACATTTATCCATAAAGATATATGTACTCCGATGTTCATTGCAGCATTATTTACATGGCCAAGACATGGAAACAACCAAAGTGTTTTTCGATAGATGACTGGATAAAGAAGATGTGGTGCATATATACAACAGAATATTACTCAGCCATAAGAAAAGATGAAATACCGCTATTTGCAACAACATGGATAGATCTTGAGATTATCATGCTAAGTGAAATAAATCAGACAGAAAAAGTCCAGAACCCTATAATTTCACTCATATGTGGGATATAAAACTGAAAGCAACAAAGGAAAAAGACAAAGAAACAAAAACCTCATAGACACAGACGAAAGTTTAGTGGTTACTAGAGGGTAAAGGGGGAGGGCGAGGAGGTAGATGAGGGTAAAGGGGATCAAGGGGATCAAATATAAGGTGATGGAAAGAGAACTGAGTCTTGGCGGTGAGCACAGTGTGAAATATATATATATGTATGTATTATAGAAATGTACACTTGAAACCTATGTAATTTTACTAACCATTGTCTTCCCAATAAATTTAATTAAAAATAAATAAATAAATAAATAAAACCTAGGGAAAAAAAAATCACTAACAGAGCTCTCTCAGGAGACCACATTTCAAATCCTACTTCCGTGCCCTCACTTTGGCCCCACCTCCAGCTTTGGGGCCCACCCTAGGCTTTACCTGAGTGTTAGTTCACATGCTCCAGCACCCCCAGCAGGGGCCTGGGGCCACTTCCCTGTGGTGGGGTTATGGGGGGGGGGAAGCAACCTGTTGTTGGCTTTTTTCTTGTTTTCACTTTTTATTTTGGAATACTTTTAAATTTACATAAAATTTGCAAGAATAGTCAAAGAACTCCCATGTATTTTCCCCAGCTTCACCAAACATTATGTTAACAACATTGGACTTTGAAGTTCTTGATCTCTGACTCTAGTTCTCCTCCTCCTCATTTATCTTTTCAAATTCAGTTAGTTTGAATGGTGAAAGGATTTACATTTAACACACATCTACTTCTGCACCTAGTTTGAATTTCAGCAGTGGGGACCTCAGCCTCCTTGTTACATTTGCCCAGGTTCTCTGTCCCACCCCAGAGTGTGTGTGTGGGGGGGAGGGGAGGCAGGTTTGAGTTGTCTCTGCATCATCTGCCCACCGCACAGACCTTCTTCCCCCTCTTCTCCATTTCTCCTGCCCCATCTGGCCGGGACTCACAACCCCAGTCTTGTTCTCTGCCTGCCTCTGTGACCCCAAGAGAGTCAGGCCATCGAGAGGAAAAGCTGAGGGTGGACCTCCCCGTGGACACCTGCCCGGGATGAGTCCACCAAGCAGGAGGGGGAAGCCAGCCCAACCTTACCATGACCGGGAAGATGATGGCGGCCATCGTGGACTTGAGGATCCACAGCACCACCAGGCAGAGTATCTGCACCAGAGTGAAGAGGTGAATCCGGCGCAGGGGCACGTGCCGCAGGAAGGCGTGGTCCGGCTGGTGCTTGGCTGGCATCAGGAAGAGCTTGCAGCGTTCCCAGAACTGGCAAGAACAGCTCGAGGCTCAGCCAGGCCATGGGGACCCAGGTGGCCCTGTTGGGGACTTGGGATGGTGGGGAAGGGGTGCTGTGGGTGGGTCTCATAGAGGAGAGCCCCTGGTTAGGCGTTAAGGATGCACAAGAAAGGGAACTGGAGGGATATGAGGACATATAGCGAGGCTTTAGGGGAGTGGGCTTGAGCCCTGGGTGAGGGGTACAGCCCTGGAACTGGCCGCAAGTGAACACTATCCACAGACAAGGAAAATGCATCTTAAATGGAACACAAACAATCCAAGACACGCCAGTGTATCATGGTAAATAAGGAACAAAACAAAATGTTTTCTTCTGCCAGAGTAGACTTAGAGAAGGGAGAGATGTAGTGAAATGCTCACTGGCGTCAGCCCGATCTGGGTTTTGAGTTCTGAGCCTTAGTTTCCTCATCAATAAAATAGGCATCAGAGGACCTATTTATAGAGATTTCATTATATAACACCCATAAAGCGTCTGGTAGAGTTATTTTACTTGGCACATACTAAATGGTAGTATCGTTATTACTATTATCCTTTCATTGGATAGGGAAATGGAGCACTGGGGTCTTGGTGATGTGGAACCAGACTTGGAGCGCTGACTCCATGTCATCAGCTTGAGGAGGGAAAAGCTTTACCTGGATGCCATGCAGGGAGGCCACGCCCATGTAGAGGAAGACTCCGTATAGCACTGGCATGGGGATGTACTGAAATGAGAGAGGGAAGCAGAGCTTTGGACTGGACCTCCACCTGTGGCAGGCTATGACCACCCTATTCTGCATGACAGTGTCAGCCTGGCCTGCCTCTGCTTTCCCCAAGCGGCGAAGGAGCTGGATGTTTGGAGGAATTGAGGGTCTTAGAGCAGATCTGGAGCCAAAGTGTCAGTGGAGAGGGAGAGGGTCTCTTGGGCTCTCCTGCTACCTTCTCTAGCTGGAGTAGTTAGCCCAGGGCGCAGCTGCTCTCCCAGCCTGGTCCCCCACTTCAGACTCTGCAGAAGCCATGTGGTCTGAAGACATACCTTCTGGAACATGAGAAAGCTCCATAGAAAGCCCCCTGCTTATTCCTGTTAGTCCTTTCTTATCTCTAGCCCTAGCTGAGGGGCCCCCAAACCTGCGTTGCTCAGGTTGCAGGAGGCTGGGGACCTTTAGTGAGCTGACCTACATCACCAGGGAGTACCTGCCGATTATCGAAACTCATGCATCACACACAATCATATATATATATATATATATATATATATATATATATATATATATATATATAAAGAAGCAAAACAGAATTTATAAACCAGCCACCACTAATCACCAACTAAGCACTAATGATTTGGTGGGTATCTTCCCTTCAGATCATGCTCACA